GGGAGAGAGGGTCCTGCGCCAGCTGAGGGGGATGCCAGCGGATGAGCTGTGGTAGTCGGCTGTACCGTAATGCGTAGCGGTATGGCGGAACAGTCTACCCGTCGCTTTGCACTTGAGTCAGCACCACCTGCGGGCAGGCATCGGTCTGAGCCCAAAAGCCTGTGTACCAGTCTGAATCTTGGTCTTAAATCGTAAATATTTCATCCATCGCTTTTGATGTACATTCGCGCTCGAGTCCCAACACCTCGGGTCCTATTCCGAGTCGCATCGCATTGAGTCAGAGTCGGAGTTGATTCGTTTTGCAGTACATGGGCCGCGTTCATCAGCAACATGACACTAGAGTTGGAGCTCTTGAACCCTGAGTTGACCTCGAACTCTTATGTCAGTCTTACCGGTGTCTGGGGCACCGCATTTGTCACGGGGGGGGGGGGCGTGGGGGTTTTTCCACCCAATTCAATTCGACTCTGGTTAATTCCACGTCCACGCATTTGCAGAGGCAGCTGGTAGTTCTTGCTGAATGTATAAGTGAAGATATGATGTAAATCAGCTGAAACACAAAGGCAGGGTCGGTGCCACCAGTAAGGGAGGGTGACTGGGCTGTAACGGCGTCACGACACTTCAATATCAAGAAATAGATGAAAACTCAAACGTTTAATAACTGGCGTTCTCGCAAATAATCATTTCTCTGCAAATTGCTCATGTGTCCTGAGTTGCATTGGCGCTTGGAGACAAGGGGTGGTAGCAGGGGCTGAGATCCACAGGTTTCTCCGGACTCCCGACTCCGGACGGACACATATAGAGCCGTGGTCCGCCGCCCGACGCCGGATGGACACATATAGATCCGTGGTCCACCGCCCGACTACGGACGGACGCATACAGAGCCGTGGTCTGCCGCCAGACTCCGGACGGACGCATACAGAGCTGTGGTCCGCCACCCGACTCCGGATGGAGGCATACAGAGCCGTGGTCCGCCCCCCGACTACGGACGGACGCATACAGAGCCGTGGTCGGCCACCCGACTCCGGATGGACGCATACAGAGCCGTGGTCCGCCGCCCGACTACGGACGGACGCATACAGAGCCGTGGTCGGCCACCCGACTTCGGACGGACGCATACAGAGCCGTGGTCGGCCACCCGACTCCGGATGGACGCATGCAGAGCCGTGGTCGGCCACCCGACTCCGGATGGAGGCATACAGAGCCGTGGTCCGCCGCCCGACTACGGACGGACGCATACAGAGCCATGGTCCGCCACCCGACTCCGGACGGATGCACACAGAGGGCATCATTTACAACCCGGTCAGCCGGCGTGAAGCCTCCCATGTGAGCTGAAGATCGTTTGACCACTTGTCTCCATAGTCCGCAGTAAGGCAGACAATCCGGGCGTTCCTGAGCTATCTGGGCGGCGTCAGGCTGTTGCAAGAGGTTTACGTCTGGTAATAGGCCCTGCCCGCTGGCCGGCGCTAGGATGTGGCTGCCGTCCGTTGATAGGACTGGCTCGCTGTTTGGTTACCTCGTTGTGAGTCGTCGATCTGTTACAGTCTTTTCCTTGGACGGAGAACGGCTACAGTGGGATCAAGATCAATTGTGGATGTACGGAGCAGGGAGTGAAAACATGTAACAATTATATCATACACCGTGTTGGGCACCGGCATGGCGTATGGAGAGCTTTGAAAGACCGTTCGGCGATATCCCCCTACACTGACCGAGCATATTCAACACCTTCCGTGCCTGGAGTTCGCAGCCGGGTCAGGAGGTGATTGGATCATTACGTGCTGACAGCCTATGCACATTAAGACATTGGTTAAAGTGTTAAAGTGGAAATAAATATTGAGTTGTAGCGAATGCGCAACACAACAGTATTCTCTAATCCCCCAGACACGACTATTATTTTGTAGGCTCCTCCGTCAATAACCATCACGCGCTATCCCTGCTTTTACCGTCGAGTTTTTGCAAAATCTCTGGAACACATATGGATGCATACCTGAAATTTTGCGTCTGTTTTCTTTCATCGCACATCTTGAAACCTTTTGTTTATAGGTGTCTTGCATGGTATCAACAGTAGATATTTTCTTTACCCATTATCTGCCGTACTTTAAGGACTAAGAATGACAACTCGTCCGACAGCTACGATAGATGCTACTGTTAAAAGTATATCTTCATCCAGTATCAGTACATTTCTGAACAATCGTCCTTTCGACAGCTTCGGTGTCATTAAGTGTCGATTTGAGATGACGACAGTGTCAGCCGGGCTCGGCCGGGGAGACGTCTCCGCAGTGCCTGCCCTTCTTACCAGGGTGAAAAGCGTGTAAGACAACGTAGCCTAGGCAGCTGAGCGCGCCGTAGATCTCCAATGACGACGATGACGGCCGGGGAACGAAAATGCTTAAACTTAATGTTTCTAGCGCTTCACAAAAAACAGACAACAAAAGACGGTGGAACATAGCGAGGCAAAATTTTAAGTATTTTAGGCAAGAATTTGACGATCCATGCACTTGTTAAACATAATGCCTTATCATGCCGCTGAAGTCAATATTTAGAGCAACTGTGTATATACCCACTGCTTGTTCACTCTTTTACTGAGCATTAGCTGGCTTCAACAAACCTTTACATTTCATGATAGGAATAATATAGTTCATGATTATGCATGAACATCCCCAGGACTATTCTGATTTGAAAGGATTTGCCGTCATACTTTCCAGCAAACTGCCCGCAACAATGAAAGCCATAGGAAGCAGACAGTAACGATAATTACCTATTCCCAATGTCTTTTGATGGTTGTTTGTCATAACGGGTGACTGCAAATGGGAAGGACTCGCACCGTTAGCGACTGCCTATATTTCTAAAAATGACCTCAAACATTCAAGTCATGATTATCTGTGAGCATTTATCTTCTTTAGCTGCCTGTGCTGGACTTCCTTGGAAGTAGGGTTAAAACGAAGACGTTGGTTGGTGCTCACCGGACGGGGAGGCCTCTGAGGTTTCCGAATGTTTATTTGAGGTCATTATATGTATATGCTACAGTTTTCGAAGCCTACTTTTAACCTTTTTTGTGCAAATGTTTGTTTAGAAATAAAAACTCAGCATTTTGTACAAATTGTAACATTTTACGTGCCATAGGTCACCGTTCATTACCTGTTCATCTTGGGCATTTCGGTCGCGTTTTGTGCTCACGCTTTAGGTGCATGTGTCTTTTGGTTTCTTGGAAGCAGTATGTGCACAACATGCATTCAAATTTTAAATATATTCGCTTTGTGGCATCCGCACCACGCAACCTTCAGTTGCCGGTTACCAAATATTAGGTACAAACTAGAAATCTGACCTGCATCGTACATTTAGTGTATTTCTAGTTTAATGCGTCCGTTCTTCGCACTGAGCGTCGTTCTACCCGGTATATATTATCCCGCTCCGCGCCTCCGTAACAATGCGGACCCGGTGAGAACCGGGGAGTTTGTGCCGGACTGCGCAACGAACGCCGCAGTTGCGCCGTGAGGATTCTCCAAGTTGAGACACAGTTGTCGGAATAAGCTGGAGCATCACCATTTCTACCGACATTCTGATGCTCGTTTCATGGTTTTGGACAGTAAGCAGAAATGAGGACATCGTTCAGATTAGTTTCATGAAAAGTCAGAAAACTGAATACCGCTCGATTGATGCTGGGCTTTTACATTGCTTCTACCAACTTCAGTGGCCTTTTTGCTGTAGTGCTATCTGTTATAAATTAGGTCGAACCCGAGTATGCCTAACCGAGTACGCAATGATTGTAAGGAAATGGTACCGACTTGCTTATGCTACCATCCGGCTCATGCTCACATTCCACATCAAAAGTGTTGTCTATGCGGTGACGATTTGAGTTTTATGGAGCACAGACTAATTTAATCACATGGCATCTTTGACTGGAAACTTTTGCGTAGAGATATTTGTCTATAGATTTCGCTTTGCGGTGGTCCACAACCATCACGGAGCCGTTGTGAGCCGGGATTAATTATGCGCTGCCACTATGCAAACAAACGCCAAGTCTCCGATGGCGAAACCTACCTTCAGCTGAAAAAGCTCGTCGATGCTCCTGGACGTAACAGTGAGCTATTTTTCCCCTGTGCCAACAATGCAAGGTCTTCAAGATCCCTACAGTTTCAGTCGCAGGAGGTTTCAAACTTTGGTAGACACAAACTTGGCTGCATCCGTTTCGCCTGAATTGCTTGTTGACGGCGTGAGCACAAACAGCACGCGAGAGCATTGTTGCCAGTTCCTCCGACAACAAAATTCGCCAGGCGCTGGACGCGAACACGCAAGACTAATAAAGCTCACCCTTTCATGACATATTTTATGTCCGCTCTGGGCCTGTTGTAACGAAACAAAAACGTGACTGCTGGCTAAGTGTTGGTCGTATCGCACCGGGGCACGCAAATGCGTATGGCACACCGCTGCTTTTTGTTAATGTCGCTAAATTACATTAAAAACAGTTAAACATTTAGGTCATTGCAAATACATCATTAAGCGCTGACGTAGTTTTCATTCATGACTGGCAAGTGCGTCTGAGTGGAACATGGATAACAAGTCTGCAAAACGCCTTCGAGGACTAGGACCTACCAGGGCGCTCCCGAGACGTCTACAAAAAGTGCAGAAAATGGAGACGGCGTCGTTTTAATGGACCTTGCATATCGTGTGATGCTCTGAAGAACAGAAACGTTGACTAAACATTGCGCCAAATGGGCCAGCTTTGGCAATGACCTTCAAAATAACTGACCATGTGCATTTGCCAGTGGCAGATCACTCGTATTTCTTAATGACTTACTTAATGGCTAGCTAGGACCTTTGCAGCGCTAGCCACTTGGGTCGGATTGAACAAAAAGGCTGGTACCAGAATACGTAATTCGGTATGAGGGATGTGCATTAAGTCACATGCTCACGAAATGGAACGCAGAAGACGAGGAAGGGTGGAATTCCTCGTTCCCGGCAGGTGAATACTTAAAATGCCTCCTGCACTTTTTTACACTCACCATAGCAATGACGTGAGCGCGAAGAAAGCGCAGAGTCCCAGCCGTGTTGAAGAGAGAACACCTCATTCAGGCGTGACTCCCCATCTGTAAAGGAAAGAACAGGCTATGAGACAAGACAGGACGTCTTTCGCGACGTTACGGTCGGCGGCAGCAGATAGAGCTGGAGTGGTGAAGGACGATCACACTCGTTTGCCGACAGCACGTGGTCGATGCAGAGTAGAATATGTGGACAGAACAGAGTGTCACGTGTCACATAGCATCGTGTGCCCTTTGACATCAATATATGCAATATATTGCACTGTGAAACTGAGTCAGCCAGTTTCAGCAAGTTTCTGAATGAGTGGTCTAACAGCAGTATATCTACTTTTCGACCACGTCGACGTTCATGGAGCCGACACACTCGTCACATACATGTTCGATTCAGTGCCGGCCCACGTCAGTCAGCCGGCCGGTCGAGACGGCACAGACCCACACCGATTCACCGAGCCAACGCAGACCCATTGGTGGTGGCGCGCGGCAGGTCTGCGTCATTGGCCGGTGGTGGTGCGGTGGGGGGGGGGGGGGGGGGGCATGTCTCCTCAGAAACGCCCGTCAGCGCAGACTTGGGCGTCAGATCCGTTAATCCGCACAGGACCCACATCTGCCCCCAAGCATATCGGCGCTGAAAGTTCCGAATCAAGACGGAACTGGACATTGAGACAGATGAATCCCGTTTCCGAACGGAGGAAGAGACTGGCCAGCTCCCTCTGCAACAGGAGGCACGTTTACTCTGTTTTCCAGGGGGTGGGAGGCGGATCATCCTTCAGCTTCATCTCTGACCGGAGTCAAGAGGCGACTCTGTCTCCAAAGGGACCAGAGATCAACTGCTCGACTCCGTCTTCCAGTGGGGGACAGAGACCGCTTGATTCCGTCTCCGACAGAAGGCCGGGGTGGCTGGAGTACACTAGTCGCCGCCGTATTCCAGGGTGAGGAGCGGGTCGACTCTTTCTACGATGGAGAGAGAGAGGTAGCTCGAACCTAGAGTCCCGGTGTGCTCCAAGTCCATGCACGCCCGCCCGTATCCCTCGCCGACGCCGGCTATGCATCCCCGATGACGGGTATGACATCAAATTATCTCGCTATATTGTTTTGACCAATGGTCGCTGTCGCCACCGTCGTCGCCGTGCACACCGGGACATCCTACCGTTGTCATCGTGCACGTCCGGATCTGCACCGTCGTCACCGTGCACGTCCGGATCTCCAACGTCGTCACCGTGCACGCCGGGATCGCCAGCGCGCGGAGCGCCGGCCGCTAAGCAGGAGCGACAGGAGGCGGCCGCCGTTGGGCCCCTAGTGCGTTCCATCCGGAGGCGGCGCGTGCTCTCCCGGCGCGGCCTAATGGCCTTTCCATCAGATAACGGCCCTCCGCCCTCCGACTGAGTGCGGTTTCCCTTTAACATGCCCGACCGATTACGGCAAAGAGGCCACACGATCGGTGTGGACCGCAAGGCGTCCACGTGTCTTCTGTAACACCGTCAGCAATGTTTTGTGATTTTAAATCGACGGCAGACCAATGTTTTGCCAGTCAGGAGCTAAAGTATGGAAAACCGTCACAAAATGAATGCTGTGGCCAAAAATGCCAATGAGTACGCCCACAAATAGACACCTGATGCAATGGTTATGAGAGCAGCGCGCGCGCACGCACGCACGCACGCACGCACGCGCGCGCGCACACACACACACACATACACAACGATGCATTATAGACTGTGACACCAGCCAGCATTACTAGTTTCCCCGGCTATCGGAGCGCTTAGCGGTTTGGTTATCAGGCGGGGTATTGTGTCAGAAGGCCGTTCAACAAATGAACGATGACTCCCTTTGTGCAATGCGGGACACGCGCGCCTTAACTGCCCAGCAAGCGTTTCTTGGAATGCAATAGCTCGCATACGTGCTCCCACGGCCGCAGAAGCACCGCGATCCTAATAGTTACGGCTGGTCGCAATCCCACACATTGAAAAACGTGCACCAGTATCTGTGAGGCTTTCATTCAACCAGCGTGGCGTAAGGAAGATCAACATTGTGGTGCACTGCCTGTAAGGATGTATTAATAACAAAAGGAAACAGGGCATCATGCCACATTAGTCGTAACCAAGTTGGTCCAGGAAACTGCTTACATGTCAGGAATTTCAGCCGGTCCACAATCCATAAATGCTATAAAAACTAATGAGCTAATACATGAATTTACTAAACCAGATGACCACTCTATGATCTTTGACCGTAATTGCAGGCATCCGACACAATGTTCCCCTTCCGACGACAACGGCTCAGAGTCCATTCGAGCCACGATGCAAAGGCGGCCTTGAAGAGCGGTCGATCTATTCTCGTTCACTCGGACCGTTGCCTCTCTATGATTAATAACCGGTCAATCTACTATTCGAACAGATGCAACGGAGCGTTCCGAGGACACATTTGTTACGTTGTGCGGCGTTGTGCGGAGGCCTGTCTATATTTAAGAAATATTAGTCGCATCGGCAGCCTTTAGCCGGGAAGTTTTCATTCCATTATCCGCTGGGATGGACGCAGAGCTGCCGAGTTGTAGCTGAAAAGTTTGCCTGATTAACGGCGCACGCGAGAAAGTATGCCTGACCTGGATGTCAGCCCACAGCGACCCCCGGCAGCACATTTCAGCACAGCATCACACATGAATCCCGACTAGAAAACGTAATGCGTCCAGAAATCCACCAGAGTGTGCAAGCCACGGCAGGTCGCTACAATAGTAGTGCGGGGCTCAGGACAGGCGCCTGCGTCTCTGTGGTGTCTTGCACGCTCAGTATTCGGTGCCCGCATTTTATCAAGGAGCCCGAAGCATCATACCAAGCGCATATCAAGCGCAGCGCACCTCCAAGTGCTGTATCACCTGTCACTTATTATTGTACTATTACATTTCGTTATGCACTGATATACGCATGTCATATGATATATACTTGAATATTACTCGCAAAGTAACATACTGCTATTACATTTTATACTGCTAATATAATGCGGTACAAGCATGAAAATTTTTGTTCCGCAAGTTTATCATTTGCTGGTTCTCAAACACGGAATGATGGTTGAGACTAAACTAAAAAATTGTCAGATAAAGGCATACTTAACATTACCAGCCAACAGGCGCGTAGTTTCCCTATTCAGTGTTGGAGGGGGAGGTAGGTACCTAACCAGAGTTGTAGTTTCCTATTTTTAGTCCATTTTTTAGGGTTCAGCCCCAAAACTAATTTTGAGAAACTGAACCACCGCTCCAAACTCGGAAATGAAAGTGCGTCAAATCTGGGCGAAAGCTATTTTAAATGCATTTCGGAGGCAGACTCACCCATTCTTTCTTCCTACGTACTTTGCAAAACTGCATCACTGAAGGCCTACATTTACCGATAACATGATTCTACAAGCACCTGGAAATAATATCACCTTTGGCTTTATGAAGTCATCGTACAATCAGCCGGAAGCGTTGGCAGCCTTCACTATTTCCGCACAATCATAACCAGCGCGGAACTCGTATTTTCTAACATCGTCTCAATTATTTAGAGCAAAACCCATGCCCATGTGGTACCAACAGTTGCGAACGACATTTTTGAACGCCTCCCGCACCTTCATTTAGTTTTACATGCAATGTGATGGTAATTAAAAGCGTTTTATCTCACGCCTGTCCACCGGTCAACACGCTACACATGAGGCGTAACGGGCAGGGCGAGAGACCTACACCAGTGATGCCGGCCTCTGACCTCAAAGCTGCTGTTCCTCTCAGTAGCATGAAGCCCCGGATGAAACCTTAACATGCGTCACTACAACGTTCTCCATTTAACTTTGAAGCTACAGCTCAGGTATCCACAAAGAGCAGTCCTAGATCGGCAGGGCTTTTTAACCACATTGCTCGAGGCACCGTCCTTGATACGTCCTTAAACTGACGATTAGCTGCGCTCTTTTAGTCAGTCAGCTTTTCACATGAGCACAGCCAACGGCAGCCCGCAGCCTCACACCAAACCCAATCCATTATCGTGTGGCGAGCATTCAAGACCATCTGTCTCAAATGGCACGGCGCTTTAAAACGCCGCGGAGCGAAACTGATTGCAGTTGTCAAGAGGTGTTGTGGCCAGACACAATTCTTACGACTAGTAATAAACCAAGCTGTTTGGTACTTCTAATGTTAAGTAATAGAAGTGAATTTTGGCTGAACAGTCTGTGAAAAGCACTGATCTGAGGTGCATAGGAAGAGCGCTGTGTCACCACTGGTCTGTGACGTGAGCACTGATATAGTATAGTTTGTGGTTTATTTCTGACACCTGCTGAAAACTATCCAGATTAAAATTACTTTTTTTAGCAACATATTGTGGCTCAACTTGCCTTATACAGCGAAACGTCAACGTTCCGACATGTGCTCGACACATGCTCACTCAGTAAGGGTGAGCAAGTACAGACCAATACCAAGCTTTGAGTTTCGTATAGCTGGGATGGCCTGTTGTAATATGGTCTCGGTCTGTTCTAATTTGTTTTTATTTTCAAAATTTTGTCGCCAATTGGTTTGAAAAAGTGTCTGTTTTTTGTCAACGATCACATCCGATAAATCAAAAGCTTTTTGCGTTCACGAGCTATCGTGGGTGCCGCAGTCGAGGATGCTGACCCAACTGACCACATGACCACATACGACCACATGACCACATGGCCACACCGACCACACTGACCACACTGGCCACGTGACCACACATGACCGCGGGTGATGTGAACGAATAGCCTTTTGTAACGCTGCGCTGCCTCTTCATGCTGACGCACGGGTCACATTAAGCAATTATGTGACCTTGCTATATACTAAGCAATCACAATTATGATGGCATTGCTACATGGCCTCTTTCGATAATCCAGTCGACAGCAGATGTCCACGGCTGCCGTCCCATCTGGCCTGCTCCTCGGCTGGGCCTGGGTTGACCAGTCTTATATCATCACTGCCAGCTTCCCAGTCAGCAGAAGCATTCTCCAGGGGCGTGCTAGCCCGGGCGGCGCGTCGGGCCCAACAAACCGACGAGTTGGAGAAACGGCGAGTTTGCGCG